CACAAGGATCAATAAACTAACGAAGTTTGAGATCCTTCACAGATCCTTGGGATACTACAATTGTTTGGGATACTACAATTGTTGTCTTAAGATGTTGTTTCAGGCCCACCAAAATATAGAACCACCTTTTGAGAACATGTATGTGAAATCAGTGTGATGTATCTTTTTTTTTCTCGAAAGTACAAGTGTGACAATGTAGTTTTGCTGCAACTACGCTGATATGTACCTTTTATAAAGATACGTATCAACAGTGCCAAATGTCGCACTATTATATATTTTGTACTGTTTCACTTATAGAAAATAACAAACAAACAACGAACGGCGTATTTATTTTATACGAGCAGAAATGTACCGTACAATCGTTATTATTACATGTGCATCACTGTCGTTTTCTTTTACGATGCATTACATACAGAACATTATATACATTATAATATTTATAAAACCTTCGTTCGATTGTAATTTATGCAAATTCGTTGCAAGTTCATTACAAAATACGATGTGCAGGACACACGACTGGAAAAGTTTTGTCTAAAACAACACATTCGATTTGTAGTCGCAGATATATAAAAAGAAAGATGTATAAAAAGAAAGTAACAACAATCCGCGATACAATTTACAACGACACATTCGTTTCGGAAAAAGCTGAAGAAAAGCTGAGATTAAAATCGAAATAATATTTAACGAAAGTTAGTCGACTCCGTAGCAAAATGTCGTTTTTGTAAAAAATGTGTTATAAAAAATCACAATCAGAAAAACAATCAGAAAGACGAATATAAGTTGACGTGTATTCTGCTAAAACATTCATGTAAAATTGTCAGTCAAGATGGCGAGAATCCTGTTAATTCAAGGCACCGTCAAACAACATTCGATATCTGCCAATTTCCTTGTGTATTTAATGTAGAATCTAAGCTTCATTAACTATTTACAATTATCGTAATTTTATCCCCATAAGAATTCAAATCCGTTTTGTCTATGCGAAAATCCATTGTCGCGAGCCACTGTACTTTCATTAGTAGTCTTTCTTTCTACTCGATCAACTTGCAAATCTCAATGTATTTAATACAGAATATAACTCCTTTTACAATTTGCAATTATTTACAGTTATTATAATTTTATCCCCCAGGAAAACTCGAACTCGTTAAATTTGTCCACGTGAGAACCTATCGTCAAGCAACTGCGCTTTCATCAGAATAGTCTTCTTTTGTGCTTGATCAAATCGATTGACTTGTAAATCGATATCTCTATCAAATGGTCTTCTTGTTGACATTCCAGTTCGTCTTGCTTCCTTTTCCTCTTTCTAAAAAATAAAATGTATATAGTATACTTCAGCGAATGTATGAAAATAATTAATTTGATAATTTGAAGATTATAACTTTAAAAAATGAATTAAGTTACCTTTTTTTTCTTGGCAATTTTGTTTTGGTGCATTTCTAGTAACGATTTCTCATGTTTTCTGCTTTTATCCACTTCCTTATGATATTCATTTACATGTTTTTTCTCTGATTCTCTGAATCTTTTTGCTTCCTAAAAAGTATGCCATGAGCATAACATTAGTACAGTAGAATTACATTTATATGAGTTCGTACTGTTGTTTATACACACTATAGCTCTTATTATCCGTAATTCGGATAATAGGAGTTCGACATGATCGACTTTAATTTTCTGAATGTCGACTCTTATAATTAACTAATAAGTACCGATAAAATGAGCTTTTATTATCCGAATTATTTGGTTATCGGAATTTTCTTATTCCTCAACGGACAAACGGATAAACGGAGTTCTACTGTACATATATTAAAATTCTAAAACTTTCATGATAACATAAATAGAATACCTTGTAATTGAAAATAGAGATGTAAAATATTTCTTATATTTACCAAGTCCATCTGCTTCCGAGCTTTTTGTGCTGGTGTATCAGTCCAACATGATCTATCCGACATATCTGGACCATCTCGAAGCTTGAATTTGCGCGGGCCTAATCCAAGATTAGGAGCTTGAGCGGATGGTAACTCAGTCATCCATTCCTCACGTTTATTTCCGATATCCATCTGAAATATAAATACCTTTCTCGTTGACAAAACTAATAATCCCCAATAATAATTTATTCGAATACTGGATAGTTGTCTTATACTAAATATCCAGCTTTTCTCTATTATTCTGTATACAAAAAATTTTATAATAATATAAACGAGAGCAAGAATAAAAACTTAAATCTTTCCCAGGATAATTAGACAATAAAAAAATGAAAATATCTAAAAAAGAGGACATCTAAAAAAGAGAAACATTTTCTTTACCTCTTCCGAATATTTTTCATTCCTAATTCTTTGTGCTCTTAGATCTAATTGCTCGTGAACGCGGCTAGTTCTTAGAGCTGGATGATCCACAGGTAGAGGACCTATCGCAGAATCGTCATCGGAATTCGAAGACGCGATCAAACCTTCTTCACGCGATTTCAAAACATCAGGTAGCACAGGGCCGATAATTCTATCCAGCGAATCTTTCTTTCGTTGACGTTGTAACAAATGTGGTGGCAGTGCTGGTCCGAAAACAGCATCCGCTGCATCTTCTCGCTCTATGCTTTGATGATCATTTAACTGAGGTAGCAAACGAGGTCCAATAAAATTCATATTTTTTCCATCGACCTCATCGTTAATTTTATCTTCGAGATTATTTACCTCGGAATCAAGTTTATTACCGTCGGACGCATTAGATGCGAATCCTGGTGGTAAAAGCGGACCGTACGTGGATCTGGCTTGACCCATATTCTTTTCGTAATCGTGTTCGTCCGAAGAAGCATTAGAGCGCAAATATCTCTCTTTCGAGTTGGAACATTCGACATTACTATCATAAATAATTCTTTCCTCTTCACGATACTCAGACTTTTCTCTCTCAGAATCCATACAAGCCTCTCTCGTTACCAAGAGTGTCGTGTGCGATGTGGAGTTGAGTAAGGAATCTGAAACGGCACTAGGATTATTATTACTGGAACTAGATGCCGGATCATAACTCCTTCTTTTTACCTTTAATTCCTCCCGCAGTTTTCTCGTGCTGGCTTCGTCGTCGTTCTTTCGCTTTGCATAACTTTCTGACCGGATTTCGGAATCGTGTTCTTCTCTTTTCAGCTTGATCTTACGCGAGTGAGGAGACGACGTTCGGCTCTCGGAATCCCGACTGTCGGACATGTTCTCATCGGTCTCCGATAGAACGTCGAATTGCGACAGATCCAAATCCTTGCAATCTTGAGCCTCTATCGATGAATCCTTCTTAGTATTCTCGCTCGAGCGAGTCTCACTGTGACTGCGTTCTCGCTCGGTGTTCTTAGGCGAGGAACAATCCCTTGAATTCTGTGACCTGTTCTCCTTAGATAGCTTCCTGGAAGAGTCGTGCCTCCCGTGATCTTCTCGAGACCGATGATCGTCATTTGAGGACTTGATTCTACTGGACTGATGAGATCTATCTCGACTCCTGTCGCGAGAACGATGCTTGTGCCTTTCGTGATATCGACTTCGATGCTTATCGCTCGACGCTCGCTCGTCGTGATGGTTTCTCTCGTACGAATGTTCCCGCGATCGTTGCATCCGGTGGACGCTTCGATCCCTGTCCGATTGCCGTTTCGAATCACGCGATCTCTCCCTCGCATCACCTCCGTTGGAATTTCTGGAGCCTCTATCGTTCGTGGCGAATCCAGATCTGTTTTCCCTGTGGTCTTTGTGCAAATTTTTACTATCCTCCTTCAAGTTTCTCAATTCATGCTTCGAATGCTTTGTGAAGTGTCTGAGGTCCTTGTCATCCATTTTACTCTCGTGTTTGGATCGTTCCTTCCTGTCCCGATAGTTCTCGCCATGGGATGATTTATGTCTCTTAGGCGTCTTTGTTCGGTCCGTAGTATCCACAGTCGCGGCCGAATCCTTGCGCGTAGCTTCGAAACGAAATCGCCGTCCGTCATCGCTATCTTGACTCTCTGAATCGGAATCCATCGCTGTCATAGTCTAATTACATGCTGAAAGCACGATAAAACTATTATAAGTTGAGTCTTTATTGATAAATGTGTATATAAATTATAATGTAACTTATGTGTGTAATATACATATATATTGAGTATTCCATTTTAATTTAAATCTAGACAAATATCTCTTGAAAAGAATATATAAGATACGAAAAAATGTTTATTTAAAAAATTACTCTACATATTTTACTCTTTTATATATATATATATACACATTTTAAATAACTGTTTTCTTTATATCAATTGATTCATTTCGTTATTCTATTCATAAAAATGTTAAAGTATGATTACAAAAAAATTAATGATTTACAAGATGTTTAATATTTCATGTAAATATGTACTAGAATAAGGTATAAAATAACTCGTAAACTATTTATTTTTTATTTCTCTTAATACTTTTATATGCAGAATGATTAGGAATCATATTAGGTAAAAAAATTATATAATTCCATTTTTAAAATTGAAGGTGATCTTCATATATTTTTGGCGTCTCCACTTAGAAAAAAAACGTGACCTCCATGAAATCGTTTCATTTTCATCTAAAACATTTTTTCGTATCTTACGTATTTTTCAAGATACTTACAGTTAAAATGATGTATAATATTCTGTATATGTGTATAATATACGACTATATGCAAGTTATTTTGGATTGTCGCGATAATATATAATATGCAATTTTGACAAAGTTTAAATTTATTTCAATGGAACAATTATTTTGAAGAAAAAAAAAGCTGTCGTTTTACGAGCGTATACCACAAATTGAAGGTATCAAATAATACCTATAAATAAAATATTACATTGTTGAGTGTAACTTCATTTTATTTGTGATACAGGCTTCGTATAAGAATTTACAAATGTAAAACATGTAATAATGTATGTATATATATGTATATATATATATATATATATATATATATATATATATCTATATACATATATATCTACATATATATTAAGATTGGATTAGCTTTATCTAAAAGAATAGTGGTAACTACTCGACGCGTTTCTCAGCGTTCTTAGGCTTTGTCTTCTTTACAACAGTTTCAACAATTTTATTGATTTTATTCGGATCAGGCTTGGGTAACGGATTGGACTGTAACATCTTAATTATCTTGGAGCCGCTGTACTTAACGGATTTTACAAGACCCGCGGTTACGATTCCCTTTAGACTTTGCGTTACGCTAGACCTCCAAACGATCTCTTTCAAACATTGATCCAACAAATCGTAACACTCAGGATCGTGTGCGATCGCACGCAAGCAATCTTCCGTGTCTTTCGATCTTGGCCCATGTGACCACATCCTGACTAGTTTAATCTGGGGCGTTTTGGGTAAATGATTCAAATGGTGAATTTTAGTCGTCGGGCTGGTGTCTTGATTACACATGATAGCCATGTCATTTGACTTTGGAATATCTACGTAATTGTCAAAATGTTTCAAGATCGGTTCGTACAACTGCTTGAAATGATGCAATTGTGGCAATACAATGTTGCTGATCTTATCTTTATTTTCACCGAAAATCATTCGAAAATCGCCGTGATAGGATAAACTGGTGATCCTTTTGAAAAAGTCAATCTCTGTAAAATGTTCAGGCAGCAACAACAGAGCTGCATGCACAGACGAATGTAAATTCTGCACCAGTGCGGTACGCAGTTGAGAATTCTCGTCCGGTTCCATCAATACCTTAACCGGTTTATGCAATCTCCCAGCTAAGTACAGATCGTTCCAGTCTAATAAATCTTCCACCAACGAAACCTCGGATATCACGCCATACTTAATAAGCTGATCTTGGTTTGTTCTCACCAACGTGTTGTAAAATATTTTAGCGCCCGATCCTTCTTGGACATTAGTGATCACTTTAGGACTGAGATATCTTAATAGTTGAGCGTAGTGCTTGGGATTTTTCGCCAAATTCTCTGTGTGCCATTTGTTAGCATTGCGTACAACGAATATGAGATCCAACATGTTATTGTCATCGTTGTTGATTTGTTTGAACGCACCTGATCCATAAGCAAAACAAAATTTCATATTCTTGGGAAACTCCTCAAGTAAATACTTCAGTTGAGGCATTTTGACAATTTTATCCATCATTCTGGATTATTATCCAAAGCTCCAATACAACAGGTGCTTTCCAGAGTGCGCGTAAACAATACCTATAATTTCAGCCTCTTAAATTGTCCTGTCTAATTTTAACGAAGAAGCTCGCTAAAGGATACGCTCTACGATCATGACGCAGCCAACATTGCAGTTCGCACCAAGAAGGTTGATGTTTCACGCCGTGACGATCATCGAGATTCGAGGATGAAACGCCGAAGGTGACAGACAATTATCGAGTCGTAATGTCTCTCGTCCTAGGTGCCAATAATACGTGCCTGAGAAATTGCCAGATCGATCAACCGCGCGCTTTCCCAACACATTCGTCCATCTAACCTAGAAACGCAACTCGTAAATAGTTCGCTTTCGAGTCTACTTACTCATTGAAGGAGTGGGACTGTTCCTTTTCCGGAAAGAGACTAACCGAGATGGTTCCAAAAGGATCACCAAGGAGAGAACCAGCTCAGATCGTTTTCAATCCAACCAGATCTTTTCGCGATATTAAACGAATATGTATACCCGCGTGAATATCAGATTTACATTCACATATGTATGCTATGAAAGGATCGTAACTTACACCCTCGTATTCGTGGCGACGACTTGTCGCGGCTTCCCGTCACGATCGGATGTGACGCGAGAACTTCACTTGCCAAAACGCAAATAGAAAGAACTCGCCATTATACATAAACTCGAAAGTTCCGTGACGAAGCGAATCGGTCCCCTTTGCCCTTTAAACGTGACACGCCGCGACCTGAGAACTCGGTAACAACACAGCAAAACGTAGCTAACGTAGGTCGCTACACGAAGCCATGAAGTTTGTTCGCGTTTTTTGTTTGTACGCAATTTAGTAGAATTTAGTAGAATTTCTACCAAAAAAAGATTTTTTTCTTTTTATCGGAAGATCTTTTGGGGATGCAAAAAGTTTAAAAGAATTTCCGAGTGACTTTTGAAAAAGAAAATGCAAAAAAGCTCAAATTAGCTAAAATGTATTGAGAAAATCGTATGTAAGAGATAACTTTCGAACAGACTTTGGTACTAAGTGTGCTCTCGATATACAATATTTTCAATAACCAATGAGAACGTGATATCATATATCGTATGTTTCTGAGGTTATTTGTATTGTATTTGGAGTCAAGGTGCCTTTTCATGCCGATGTTCGACGTTTATTTTCGACGTCAAAATAAGTCACGTGAAAGAAATTGACGAATATCAAGTGTCAATTTTGATCATGTGATCTGTTTTGACGCTAAAAATGAGTGTCAGCATAAAAAGGCATCTTAAGAATATATAATATGCTTTTGAAATGCTTGCATGAGATGGTCGATATATCTCGAGATATCGATCTCTCGACGCGACGCGATTTCTCTTTCTCGATGAGAAAGGATCGACACGATGGCCGCAGATGGCCGTCCGCATTGGATCGCTTCGGCCCTGATTTGATCGTTGTACGATAGATATCTCAGTGATTTCAGAGGATTCACGTTGATTAGTTTCAATTAGTTCCCACGAAATTATCGTCCGTTCCTCTTTGTCTCTCTTTCTTTTTGTCTGGAATCTCCGCACTGGTTTTCACGAATCAAGCAAAGTCAGCGAAGACGTAAACGACCGGGAAACGCCATGGAGGTCGACGTGCCTGAAGAAAATACAAACGAACAAACGGCGATGGAAATCGATGAGGACACCTTCGATAGGACACCGAGGATGTCCGGAAGTGTCAAAGTCATGGCTTCTTCGGGCACCATCGGCTCCGTATCCATCAGCTTGCATCCGTTAGTGATCATGAATGTCAGTGAGCACTGGACCAGGCTCAGGGCTCAGGAGGGCAGTGACCAGTTGGGTAAGGTTTCCCCTTCAATAATTAATAGCAAGCCCAGTGGTAGATGCAAATATTAGCATACATTGCTAATTAAGGCTCCTATTCTATAACTTTCAACGATAATATCAATGTTGTTATATCAGATGCCTTCCAGCAAGAAACAGAGAGTAAGACAGTGTAAGAAACAGTGACAGAGTGTGAGATAGTGAATTATTATGTCCTTGTTGTTTGCCAAAGTTAAACAAAGATGAAACGATCACTGAATTACATTAAGTCTCTTGCTGGAAAGTATCAAATAGTCATAGTACAGCTTTTTTTATCTTTCATGAATAAAATTATATTACAATGTAATAATATTATTATTAGTGTTAAGAGTTGGTGCCTAATTATATGCTAAAAATTTTGACATTATATAGATATTAATTATATATGATAATATATATTTATATTCATACCTTACTTTTATAGATAAATGTATATCTAGCATAAAATTATCATTGTACTAAGAAGGGTTATGAGCCAAACAAACAAATTTTAATGTACATAATATGATACAGTTGACATTAAATAAAACATAAAAGTAAAAACAAAGATAAAAATATGTTTACATAGAACTAACGTTTCGATCCCAATCAGATCATTTTCAAAATTATAAAATTAATATAAATATAAAACAGTTGACTAAATTAGGCTAACAAAAGAATACTTATAGAGATACAATGATAAAAAAATGATTAATAGTTTTCACTTTTATATTTTATTTAATACCAACTGTGTCATATTACGTACATTAAAATTTGTTTGTTTGGCTCATAACTCTTCTTAGCACAATTTCTTTTATTTTGAATTATTTGAGTCATATTTTATTACATATATCTAGCATATTGTTTTTATATTATATATACTATAGAATCTCAGAAATAAATAAACATATTTATTGATGAAAGTGAGATAAATACCACCAATACAAACCAATATAAATTCTGAATTGATTTTGAGATATTAATATGTTAAAATATTTCCAGAAGTCATAGTCATAAATTTAATAAATTTTATTAATAATTCTATGAATTAGAACTGTTTCTAATGTCAAAATACTTTCAGTGTATGGTGCTCTGATTGGTAAGCAGAAGGGTCGTAACATAGAAATTATGAACTCCTTCGAGCTGCTGTTTACTTGTATTGGCGATGATGTCATAATCGATAGGGAATACTATACCACAAAGGAAGAACAATTTAAACAAGTTTTTAGTGAAATGGACTTTTTGGGCTGGTATACAACCGGTGACATGCCTACCGAGAAAGACATTCGAGTGCACAAACAACTTTGCGAAATTAATGAAAGTCCTGTGTTATTGAAACTAGATCCAAGACCAAAAAACACAGAGGTGAGATATATAAATGAGTGTATTTATTTTTATTGAAATATGTTTCTGTGAGAAAGTATCTTTCTTTCTTTCTTTTTTTTATCAGTTTTTAAATACATGTAAGTATTTAAGAATGATTGTTGCAGCACTTATCTGTCTCTATGTATGAATCGGTGATCGATTTAGTTAACGGTGAGGCTACCATGTTATTTGTTCCGTTAACTTACACATTAGCTACAGAGGAAGCTGAGAGAATTGGAGTCGATCACGTACAAAGGATGTGTAACAACGATCAAGGCGAATGCTCAGTAGGTGAGTAATACAACAATGCAATTAAGATAACTTTTATACTGCGATAAACTGTCAGAATCAACAGTAAATAATTCAAATATTTAACTTCAGTGGCTGAACACTTAACGGCGCAACACAGTGCCATCAAAATGTTGCATGCGAGGGTGAAACTCGTTCTAAGATATGTGCAAGCGGTACAGAATGGAGAATTAAAAGGAAACCATGAGGTTCTTCGAGCGGCATGTTCTTTGAGTCATCGACTGCCTGTTCTGAACAATCCGAAATTTAAGGCTGACTTTTACAACGTTAGTATATGCTTATATACATTAATAATGTTGCATTTAAAAGAATATACAAAGAATAAAAATACAGTTTTATTAATTAGTTGTTTTAATCTAATCTATTTTTTATGTTAACAGCAATGCAATGATTTTGGCTTGATGACGTATCTCGGTATTATAACTAAAGGCTGTAATAATATAAATCAATTTGTAAACAAATTTAATATCCTGTACGATAGACAAGGCGTGGGACGACGTCTACGAAGTCTTTTCTTCTGATATGTAAATAGACTCTATTGTTTTTATACATGTCTTTTTTTACTTCTTAGATAACTAAGTATCGAACTCAGGATTAAAGTTTAAACAGCCAACTTAATCGAGGGATAGTACTTCTAGAGGTACGTTGTATCGAATATAAATAAAGTAAAGAAGTTACATAGCAGTTTTTTTGAAATAAAATGTAATAGCAAATGATAGAGAGTAAGAATCACCCGAAACATACATTATATCGTTAATATCATTCAGAAGTAATATTTATTAAATGCTGTCTTGTATAAATGATATGTTTTAACATATTTCAATTAACAATAACGTGTGATATTAATAAAAACTGTGATGCGTCAAGAGATTTTTTTACTTTACGTTAACATCGATTTAATATTTAGTCAAATTATATTATAAAAAAATGAAATAAAATTTATATTGCAAATTAGGTATATATATTGAAATATACTCAATAATAAATCTCTAATAGATGCAAAATTACATCTTGTGATACAAAGAAATATGCCTAGTTTAGGCTCCGAGTGAACAGTCATAAATAGTATATTAATTGATAGGAGGCTCTTAGGAGGCTCGATAGGAGACACTCACCGAATATGAAATAAAAAATTTTAATTGCCAAATTGAACTCTGATTAGCGTACAGACCTTATTCCTTTTTAGTGTTACTTCTTCCTTATCGGAGCTCTCTAAAACTAGAAAAACATTATTAATGCTCTTAGTGGTACATAGATGTTTCCGTCAAAGTATAGAGCATCCCAAATATCATGACTGTTATCATATACAACCGTATGACATCCATTTTTACAAGACCAATAGTCTGGCTTGAGCTCTATCATGTTCTGCTATACGTACAGTAACGAGTATGATTCATGTATCTGGATTGTATCTTTGATGAGGATAATGTATTCTAATTACTGCCGTAATTAGCAAAATTTGTCACCTCAAACATTACGATATC